GTTGATGTACTAAAGAAATATACGTATCCGTCTTTATAACGAGAAGACTTTATTCACTTCGAAACTCGGGTTTACAGGAACAATAATCTTCTCGTTGAAAGTTTATTCTTGGGAATCAAAATTGACTGAGATTTATTGCATCCAGAAGAAGACGTTCTTCTAGAGTCGCGACAGAGTCTTTTATCGATTTCTCCCAATAAGGATAACAATTTTAACACAACAGTACACACATCAATGTTTAATAGAGAAAAACTACACGAATACCGAGCGTGAAAATCGGGAGATTTCTGTCAACTCTCTCCCAATCAGTTCACAGGTAATTTGCGAAGAACAACATTTCTCCAAGTTTCAATGAAACAATATTTTTTCGGTAAAGTAAATCAAAATGACGTCATTTCAATTTTTAAAAACCAAACGAGGTGAAGAATAAAAAAAATAAACGAAAATTCCAGAACTTCTAGAGTTAAAACTCGTCAGAAGCAAGCACATCACGGTTACATGATGACAACGTACGAAAATCACGCGCACTAAAACTTACACTCGTTAGTCGTGGACGTACGAGAAAAATAAACCGGTTCTTAATGCGCGACAATTCCGACTTTCGCTGGAGGGCGTTGAAACTTAATCCCGATGATTGATTCCTTTCGAGTGTCGCAAACGTTTATTTATTTATTTTTTTTCTTGTCAAAGTAGCAAAGTAGTAGTAGGTGAACACGTAGTTTTTAAGGCTCTCAGGGAGAATAACTTGGTTCCCGCGACCTGCCCCGTCAATCCATCACTTACTTGCACCACCTCCGAATTTATAGCAGTCAACAGGGATTCCTGGGGTTCATCTGGAATCCGAAAAAAAAATCTGGAATTCCACAACAATAATCACATTCACGCGAACGATGCGATACTTCGGATATTAAACCACACGTAATTTCTTGAAAATTGAGTTGCTTCGGTAAAATTGACAGCTACAGAACAATTCCTAGAATCGGGAAAAACGTATTTTTTTTTTTTTTTTTTACACTGAGCAACGTTTCTCTTGACTCGGAGCGTTTTCTCAATACTTGCACAAAATTTCATGCGAAACAAACACTAATTTATTGAAAAATCATGAAGCCATGAATAAAATGTTAATTTGCATCACGTAAAAGGCTCAGCTTTCTGAATTTACTTTCGTCGATTCTTTCTTTACTTGGTATTGTCTACTACACCCTTCTTTCTGACCGCCATTTAATTATTAATTATTATGACTACCACACTAATGGAAAAAACGACTTCGAATGCAGCACAAATACCATCTCAAATTTGCAATTCAATTCGCCAATTCCCCGCTTTCCGTCCGAATCATCCTTCGAACATGCTCAATGAATTAAAAAAAAGAGAATCTTCGTGAACCACCTCATAGACTAGTACAGTACCTACTACAGTAGTACCTGCACAGTACAATACAGTACTACATTTCAGAAGATAACTAAAAAAAGGACTGATTTTATGTGGGTCAAAGTCAGAGATAAGCGTGCCCTACATTCGTGTGAAAAAGGCAAAAAAGGCGCAAAAAAGAATGCGGAAGCTTTCAAGATTACCGAGAACAGAGGATAAGAACCGCGAGCAGCAGCAGCAAATGGCGCTAATGATGGAATCAAAAGAATGCAATTCACGCAATAATTAATCGTGCTTCGGATACGGTAGCAACACCATTATAAAACAGCGACTCATAAAAAATAAAACGATGCTGATAATATTCCTGAAAAAAAGCTAGTTTACCACAAAGGAATACGAAATGAATAATAAAAACTACGTTTCACGAAGGTCAACCTCATGAATAAAAAATCACGGTTCATGAAACATCTAATTTTCCGTGGAAAGACAAAAAAAAAAAACCGCATTGCGCAATGAACGACGGTTTTTCTCCGAATCGGATCTCCCTTACGGAAGTACGAATATTTCCGGAAAATTCCTTCACACAAATCAAAATCAAGGAAGGAACTTGTCAATGACCAGGAAGAAAGGACACCACTTCAATGAAGACGCAAATGTTTTAGATCAGAAATCCAATGCTTTCGTGAGTCATGAATGACCAAGAACACGCACCACATGGGGCAACACTAAAGTTCCTGTCATAGGTTTCAATCTTGGAAATGGAAAATATTAAAAAATCCCCCCCTGTGAACATTGTTCACAGTATTTCCCTCATTTAAGAATAATTTTAATCAAATCAAATAGTTTTCTTGAAGAATTCTCCCTCGTATTGTCACATTCAAGTTACCACGTTTTTATAATTTGAAACCATCAAAGAGTCTAGAAAAGAATCTTAAAATACAGTATGTTCAAAAATATCGGAAATTACAGAATTACTGTACATCAAAATAATGAATGGATACGTCGAATAAATTTGCTCACTAAATTACAGTATCATCATCTGCCCGTTTTCAAGATCACAGACCGGATGACACCACCAATTAATTCAGTAGGAAGAATAAAATTCAACTGATCACGACATGGACTCGCTCGCATTCAGCCGATCGTCCAAATCGGAATATTTATTGACATTTACGTTCACTTGCAACAGACGTCGAGCTTTTATCATTCCGGAAATAGAAGCTGCTTCCGATAACAATAATTGAATCGACAGTGGCGCAAGTCGCTAACGACAGTCCATGACACCTTTTTCACACATGACAATGACAAAGTCACTTTTCATGTTTCAACTTCGAATCATAACCATCTTTAAAATCCAGATGAACTGCATCAGAAACTGTGACTCTTTTTTTTCTAATCACGTCGCAGAATTTCAACTTGATGCTTAAATTTCCCCCTCGGTGTTTAACCACCGTGTTCATGTACTGTACTTGAATACTGAATGTCAAATACTGGTTGAACCTCGAAAACTCAAACCTCCTCAAGAGGAAATTTTCAAAAACGATGCATTAAAATCCTCCTCAACTCCAAGGCTTTCCTCTGAAACCTGCATAAATCGAATTTTCTGCAGACCTTTTTGGCTACAATTTTTTTGACACAGGAAAGGGAAATGCATTAAAAATACTGTATATCTTTATTCGTTTTGAAAGGCACTGCATAATTTATTGTACAAATAAACCCGAGTACCCAGGTTCAGCATCATGTCAATTCATTTTAAAACCAATTGAAGGTCCATAATACAACTATTTACTATTTCCTGCAATTCTTTTTTTTTGTTTCCCACAATAAATGATCGTTTTTTTTTTACTCTAAACCTTCTTGGTTCAATTTTTTGCTGGTCCCTTGAAGTTCTACTTGAAGAGGTTCGACTTTTTACTACAGTCCTGGACCTGCACTGGCACAAATAACATCTGCAATTCCGCAGCAGCAGAACAAATAATAAATTCAATGAAAGTTTAAATAAAAACTGATTTTTTTACTGATTATATTTGATGAGATAAAAACTCCCCAAAAACATGATTTTTTGACAAGGGAAGGAAATGTCACCCCTTTTTTGATGTGTCACAATTATTTTCTGTTCTCCGACATTGTCCTACATTTCGTCAACTCGAATTCCACAATTGTCGCGTTTTTAACTCCCTGATTCATTATCGTTTTTTTCAAATCTGGCAACGCCCTGTACAGAACAGCTAGTGTTATTATTGGTCGGGAACGACGCATACTATTTCAACTCGCAGAATTTCACTGATAACTATGATACTGTATTCGGATCGTCAAAAAGAAAAAAAAAATTCCTCACCGACACGGAATGTTACGAGTCGTTGAAAACGGCATAGAAAGATTGCATCGTAGAGAACGCGCAGCAGGCATCACAATCGGAAAAAACCACCGTTTTCAGACTTTTCACAGAGCACACCGCGAAACACATCAATTTTCAACCCGGCACAAAGCCCCTGAAAAAGAAAGAAATTAAATACAATATAGTCATTTGGAAACGGCACAAAAACGTTACAAGAGAAAACTGGCAAATAGATACAGACGAAAAAAAAAATCAACCTTGTCTCCGTTTGCTCTTCACACGTGAAATGCGTTGAAATATGCATGCACAAGCCAAAAAAGTTCCAAATGTCCACTTTAAAAATTCCACACGGAATGACAAAAAATCAAACGTGCCGATCACAAAATTGAAATCCCCAGATCACTTTTCACTCGCACATCATGCTAAGCACAATGACGCATTCAACTACTACAATATTCGTTTAGACATTCAAATGACAGTTTTTTAGTAAAACTCAAATGAATGTAACGAATTTTCAAAACCTGCAGATCGGCCTATGAAATCGTAAAGTTAGGTTTCACCACAGATGTAAAAAAAAAAAAGCAGTAATAAGCCACGATCTTCCTGATGCCAATTTTCAACCAGACGCCAATTCGGGTTCTAACTATTCTAGAAGCGGTTCTTCCTCGTCGGTCTTGGGACACAATTGCGTCCTGCGATGATGGGTTTTTCTAAAGCAAAAATGAAATTTGCATTTGAAAACGAGCAACGAACACGAGGTAAAATAAAACGTACGATTTTCCCATATCTTCGGCATCTTGAATTGTTTGTGGCAGGGAAGCACCTCTGGTTTCTGCCAAGAGCAAGGATAAACCTGCCCCCAACATGCACAAAGCTCCAAATATGAAGAAAGGTAATGCATTCCAGTACGCAGCCTAAGGCAAAATACGAAAAACAAAAGGAATTATTCTCAATATTTTAAATCCAACAAACTGAAATCTGAAATGGACAGAGTGATTCACGTCAATCATTTTCCAAATTTCTATAGATGAAACGTTAAATCAACGAATGGCAACAAATTTTCGCGAAAAAAAAACTTCAAAACGTTTGCATGTAAAATATTCTTGCTTCCAATTCAGTGAAACACACCTTCCTACCTTCTAAAAATTCATTTCACGAGTCACCAGCAACTAACAGAAATAAAATTCTTCGAGCAACTCAAGAAGACTAAACGAAACAATCCTCTACTTTCACGTAGAAATTAGAGGATTACATTCAAGGGTTCTTTTAATACCCAAGTATGTGCTTCAGCTTTCCGTACTCACCAACAGGCTGACAAATGGCGCAGAAATCGCTCCAAGACGAGAAAACATTGATGCAACGCCGATGGTCGCAGCTCTCACAGGGGTCGGGAACAATTCAGCGGTATACACGTAAATAATTCCGAAAGCTGCTGTGCCACCGACCTTCCCGATCATGAACAGCGTAGTATCGAGCCACATGTACCCTAAATTCCAAATTCTTTCTCAAAATCACTTCAACCTCAAAAAAAAAATTTAAGGACGTTGAAGGGAAAAACCCAAAATTTTCAATGACTTCCAGAAACTCGGAGCATTCTTAACAAAAAAACTTAAATTAATCAGATGTAGTTAGTCTCTACTCGAGACATTTGAAAAATCAATCATGTGGTAGAAAAAAATTCATGAGATTCTATCTCGTAATTTTTTTTTTCTTTTTGGCTCTAGAAGTCATCCTAAGTCAACAAAAGAAAACACTTTCGTAGAGTCATTGCCTGAGCTTCCATTTGAACACTTTACTTCGATAGATGTGGTCTAGAATCGTTAACGAGAATTCAATCACGAGGAAAAACCGCTTTCTTAGTCCAGCCTGTATTTGTTTCTTCAAACAAAGATGAAGCTCAGGTAGTTGAACGATTTCGTAAAAAGAGATTTTGAATTACCACAGGTATATACTGTAGTTTCACAAATGAAAGCAAACCAGAGGCACTTTACGACGATTGGCATAGAGGTGTAAATATCAATCTCACCGTATTTCTCCAGGATCCCGTTCGCAATCACAGACAAACCACCAAGTGCCAGCGAAAAGCTGACAGCGGGTTTCCTACCCCAGTACTCCATCACTGCAAAAAAAATCCTCACATTTCGTAGTTGAAAACGGATTTCCAAACATTGAAAACTTACAAACCCATGCCAACGTGTATCCAGGAAATTCAGCAACCGCAGCCAGTAAAAAATTCAGGTAGAGTTTTCCACCCAGCAAAGATGGATTCAAGCTCAGCCCATAATATACAAAATTCACAACACCCCTACAAGTTGAAAAAATAAATTGCGCAATGAGGCAAAACAACTTAGGACTTGGAATAAAATAGGACTCACCATAAATAGAACACGATCAAAGCTCTGATCACAAGCGCCTTCGAGGCGAAAAGGTGTTTGAATGCTGAAATTCCGCTTGGCTCTGCCACGTTGTCGCCATGGCCACCTGCCTACAGGACCGAGAAAACCTGAATTCATCTGCATTTATCAAAAAATTTAAGAATCTCTCATTGTCCTGTCCGCATAAGTTAACGAGGATTTCCCAAAAGTTTCGTGTATCACTAATGCATTTTCGTCGCAGCAAGATGAAGCTTTTTGCTAATTTTCGTTATATTTTTGAAAACGTCAGGCTAGTTCATCAGATGATGCCGAGATACACCACCAAAAGATCAGGGAAACATTTAATGTTGATCTCTCATAAGCGACAGGAATATCTTCAACACTCGCTGGTGATCTTCAAATTTAGGCTGACATTTCTCTCACTAGCCTTTTTCGGTCTTATTCACAACAATTCCTTACGATGCACAAAAACCCAGCAGGAATTCGCAGATGCATTTCTCATTATGTTCTTAGAGAGATAAATTATTCAATTTTTTCCAAATTCTATCAATAATTTGATACAAAATAAACAGCTATGTTTAATTCAAGTGCCATAACAATTTCCAGGTGATTCGGATAATTTCTGAAACAGGCAAAACCAATGCAAAAGCTTCCCATAAAAAAGAGAAATAAACGAAGAAAATCACACTGAACGAAGATATTTTACACTTCAAAAAATGAACGCAAGCAAAAACTGTTGACGGAAAAAGAGCAAGAAACAAAGAAAATCACACAGAACGAACATATTTGACGCTTCAAAAAATGAAGATGTCAAATTCCCCGATAAGAAATTTGCAAATAAAACAAGTATTCATTTCTAAATAATATTTACCTGTGGAACAAGTTCACTTTTGGCATCAGCAGGCACGGTTACACCATTGACTCGTTCGGCCCATTCGATGATATCCACTGCCTTCTCGTACTTGCCTTTTGAAATGAGCCAGTCCACCGATTCCGGAATCCACCTGGAAATGCGAAATCACATTCACGACACAGCATCAGTTTCACATACATGCTCCAACACGTTCAGAATTTTCTTCAATACACAACAGTCGAATATTTTTCCCCAACTGCTCGACCAACGTTATTGACTAAGGTGAAAATTCGAAATCACTGAATTCCATTCTTGAATGCATTCAGCAAAATCATAATCAATTCATTCTCTGTCAACACCAATGCGAGGACAGCATAGTTTTTATTTGCTATCGGGCTGACAGCTCGAAAAACAAATTTACCACCTGAAGACAACTGATCATCAAGAGAAAACATTTCGCGAAGTCTTCAAATAGAAAAATCTGAAGTATCATATAGAACTGAACCTGCTACCTTCACATTGAACTTGGAAGAATACAGAGGATGAATCCCATAAAATAATCGATTATTTAGGGAGTTTTGGCATAAATGAAAAGTTGGAGAAATCCTTGCATTATCCTCACGAATATTAAATTATCGGCATTTATTGGAAAACATTTCACCCGGGGAAATTGTCTTATTCTTTGAAAATAATCCCGGTCCTTTTTTATTGCGAGTTAGGTTATTGCCTTTAGAATGAAGAGAACATATTCTCATTACCAAGAAAAAAATTTCCGCATATTTTTTGTTTATCTTTGTTTTACGGGCTAATTCAAAAGAAAACTAATCCCATTTGTGATTCGCCAGGAAATGGCATTATTTAAGCCCTTCCTGGCCCACGAGCAGAACAATCGTCGAAGTTGGATTAAGACTAGGGGTTTCTTTTTTCTTTCCCTGTCCCAACATTCTTTCGAGATTAATTATACAATATTGTAATGTACAGTGAAGTACTAATTATCGCAAAGATATTCACAGAATCCTTGGTTTAGCTTCGCGTAAATCACACGCATCTTTACTTGTGAGAATATAAAAATGTGATTCGTCGGACTAAGGGAACTTTCGGAAGATCGTCACCCAATACGGCTTTGCGGAAAAAATTAGAAATTTCTGTCATGAACCTAAAAAAAATTTTAAAAATCCAGAGCTTCCCGAATCAGATATCCATTTTAATGAACACTAAACCCTTGCCGTGAAATGCGTCTCTCGCATTTAAAATCGCACTAAATAAGGAAGTTCTCTTCAAAATGATAAACCGAATCACTCACTCACTCCCACAAATCCCTAAAACATTCGCTCTGAAACCAAAGCAATGAGATACTCGTCAAGGTTGAACGGCGAACGCGGGAGTGAACGACACGACCGACTTCCGCACGAGCAGGGGAACGAATCGGAATTTCTAATCAGATGCCGACAGAGAGCGAAAAAAGCCAATTCCTACTTTCTGGCAACCAGACTGAGTGCCCCCTCACTCACCGGAAGTAAAGCAGACACAGCAAAACCGGGGCAGCAATGATGACTTGCAAAGATCGCCAGTCAGGGAATGCGAGGGCCAGACCAACCAACAAGATCTCCCCAGCAGCAAAAACGTATTCGATTAAGATTCCACACATGGTTCGCTTTGATGGACCAACTAGTTCTATTCCTGCAATATAAAATAATATACAGTACAGTAAAATCTCGTCACAACAAATACCATCACGAAACAATTTTCAGAAAAACAAACTTTTTCTCAAGTCGCGACAGATAGCTCATAGAGTAATGTTGAAACAATCTAAAAAAAATTCTCAGTTCATAAAACTTTTTTGAGGAATGCTCAATAAATTCTTCAGGTAGAAATTTCCTGACTGAGACAGGCTCAGTGAAATTTCTAATCCCAAATGTGACTGACTAGTTCTTTTAACATAAATGGAAGCTATAATGAATGACATCATGCTTCCAAATGGTTCCACATATATCCTCCTCCCAGAATGAAGAGATTGGTGCACCTGATGGAATGTCGTACATTCAAGCTAGTTTTCTTTTTCTCCAGAAAATCACTCAGTTTTTCAGATTTATAAAAAAAAATCTGAAAATGGCAGGTAAACAAGATCTAATGATTATACGCAGGTTTGATGCGAAAATATTTCCCAGTGGTCAATTTTGAAAATAGTATCATAATAAACTGTTTCTGAAATCCCCAAAAATTTGGGAACGGATTTTACTTCACACAATAAAATGAAGAGCATCAAGAATGAAAACATAATTTATACCAAAAATCCATTTTCCAAGTAAACAACAGCACAACAATCAAAAGAAGACTCACCGAGAACAAATGAAATCATGAAAACACCCTGGTTGCACAAGGCAGTGAAGAAACGGAGCACGGAGTACATCACGACATTGGTTGAGGTGGCCACTAGTGAGCCTATGGCACCCATGCCAAAGATGGCGATGCCCAAAGCAGGTTTCCTCCCGAAACTAAAATAAAAAATTGCATGAATTTATAAACAATTCACGAAATAATCTCTTTCCAGTTCTACTCACAAGTCACTCAAGCCTCCGAATATGAGAGAACCCACGAAGATTCCCACGAAAAATATACTCTGCGAGAAGGGAATCAACCATCCGCGTTCTTCGCAAACCAATCCAAACTGAGAACAATTGAAAAACATTCATCAACTCACAGACGAAAAAAACCTCAAAAATCCTGACCTCGGTCACGATCGTCGAAGGGAATTCGGACGGATCAAAAACCCATCGATCACAGGATATAACGATGCTCTGGTCGAAACTCAGGTCACACACTTCGCTGCCCACGGATGACCCAGGATCCCTAGACACATTGTTTCTCTGGTACATTTTACAGCGATTCCAATTGGCCGGGTCATCAATTTTTTTATCTGGGTCCAACAAAGGGATTGCTTTCGAAACCCAAGGCTCCAGGAACTTGGGCGCTATTTGGTCGTCGCATCCAGGAATGTAACACCTGCGAATTAGTAAATAATAAATCATTAAACAAATTGAAGGAAGGCAAAATACAGTTCTAATTCCAGACAGAATTGGATCATCTAGAAAAATTGAAAAAAACGTACCTATGATCCGGAACTGCAGCAAGAAACACCTGCGACAAGGTGCTCATCGCGCAAAACAGAGAAGGAATCACGATCAAGGCATACGTCCGTTTTTGAAACAAACCAAATTCGCCCAAGGCGGCCTGAATTTTCGCCAAGCCACCCATGATCTTAGGAAAAACAAAAATAATAATCCAACAGCTTCGCACCCAAAAATTTACATGCAGTGCTCGAAGAAATGACAAATTCTTGCAAAAAAATCTGTTTATCCGTCAACCGCTTAAAATCTCACTGAAGATCTTCGGAAATCCGACGGGAAAAATAGGCAAAATCGGCGAAAACTGAAAAATTTCCCACGATAAACTCCCAGGACAAACAAAATCACATCTCATTTACAAAAAATCAAAATTTTCCCAAAAAGAGAAAAGCAGGTCGAGACTAGCCTTCGTTTTGCCCTAAAAATAATTCAACCAGACCGAAAAGAATTATTTAATTGTCCCCCCAAGGCGAAACTTAAATCACGACGAAGTTCCCAATATCACTTCCATTTTCTTCATAACAATTTTGGAGGCGTTTGACAGGGGTTCGATCCAAAATTAGCTGTTCGGTTAATCCCCTTTTTCTTTACAATTCACAGAAACTTCAATGCAAGGATGCAAATTTGAAAGAAAACCACATTTTCGAACTTCGCTCAAGACAAAATCGAAGATCCCATCAAGACAATTAACCGAAAAGCGCAACAAATTTTGATCGAACCCCGGTTATTACTGCTTGCAGCAGTCGTGAAAATTCCTCGACTTACTTTTATCACACTTTTTTTTTGTTTCTTACAAAACGAAAACCACCTTCCTGCTCGCCGGAAAATAATATAATATATCGTACCAAGAAGAGGCACTAACTCGCTCCATTCAAAGTCTCACATCTGCAATTTCCTGTCCTGATTAACTCCATCGGATCTCCCGCCGAAAAATTTTACACAGGTTTTACGAACGCTAAAAATACACTTTCTCGGGCGTTCGGGGAAAGAAGTCGAATGCGAGCCTTTTTCCTACTTTCTTATACTCGTGATACTTGACCGCCAACAATTCAAATACCCGCGTGGAATGAGCACAGTTGAAACCTGTTTCAACATCACTTCTCAAGTTCAAAAAAGAAAACTAGAAATTATTATTTTTTTCAATCCTCTTGAATGCATTCGAGAACAAGCAGAAAACAGTACAGTACTAAATTCCACGACAGAGAGTGAAAGTAAAAAGACAGCGAATGCATCGCTCGAAAAGCGTATCGCAAGGCGAAAAAAAAAAAATCCCACGCAGGTACTCGAAGAGTAAACACAGAAAATGTTCTGAATCATTCGATCAACTCGGGGAAGAGTTTGAAATTAAATGAAAGAAAAAAACTTTCGCTTCAGAAAAAATTTGAATTCATCGCGGTCTCACACTTGTTCTCCAATTCCGGACTTTGATTTTTGGGAGTGGACGACGACAATCGCGGACGCCGATCGACAGGCCCTTCGTCTTCCTGCGACGGAAGGTCAAATATTCTTCTCACGGCACTCGGAACTCCGCGAGCGTCGCGAAGTTGCAGGTACAACGCTTCCGCCTTCGCCAAACTATCATCCACGTCCATCTTCATTGACATGTCATTCACGTGCTGCAGAAGAAAACGAGTTCCAAGAAACAAATTATCAATTCGAACAATCGTGAAATTCTGAAATTTAAAAATGATGACGTCTCTAAAACGAGAAGAAAAATCCGCGTACGGCACAATCTAAATTCTAAAAAAGCTGAAAATACTGATTTTTCCACTGAAGCGTAAATTTAAACGGCTTAAATTCCTCGTAATAGTTCAACGCATTCCAGTGACCTATTACAGTACTCAAGCCTTAATTCTCAACTTTTCGTCACATTTGTATTCCATGAGGAACAGCGATAATTCAGTTGATTCACGACAAATGACCAGAATCAATGGTCATTTGTTTGCAAATCTTGATGCCCTTATCGAAAAGCAAGATGTTACCGTTCAAAAAGATTCAATCCATATCCTACTAACTTTGATTTTGACTCTGTTAAATCTTTAAAAAGAGCGGACAGCAAAAACTGCACGAAGGAAACGAACCTTGAGGATCTCGTTGAACCCAAAGTCATTCTCCGTTATTGTATGCTTCGCTGTTTGCAGGAGTGCGACGCAAAACAGCAAATGGAAGTTTTTACACGGTAATCCAGTCCAAAACACTTCCCATAATCGCTGCACGTCATCAAAGGTGAATTCTCGTTTGAACCAAATGAGTAGCCAACGAAACAAAAAATACAACTGCCCACTTTTCCGGTTTTCTAGATACGCCAGAAATTTCGGGTCCACCACGTTCAAAATTTGCTGCATATCCGCCAATTGCTTCTTCATTCCTTCTTGGTCCAGATCGAAGTTTTTCCCCTGAAACAAATAATCGTACAGTATTATTGATACATTACAATTTATGCACACGATTAACGAAAAAAAATAAAATAACCACAGTCCTGTATCATTTGAAGAAAGGTAATTTGTACATTGTTGAGAAGGAAAATAGAAACTCACCACAAGATCAATGAAACCCTTGAAACACCAAAAGCTGTCGACTTCGTCTTCCATCACATAGAGGATCGGCGCCAACAGGTCAGACATGCCCTGAACATAACCCAGGTCGAAATTGAACATGACGTAAGTCATCAACACGTCACTCAAAGCCTCCACGTGTTTGTTGCCATCCCCTTGATAAAACGGATGCATCCTGTCTGTCCGCAACACATCTTTCTCCACCAGTGCTTTACGATCCCTTCAGAAAAGGTTTCGAGAGCAAATTATACGATGAGAGCTTACCAAGAAACAATCAACCAGTTCGACGCGCAACAAAACAATGTATTCTGAGCATTACAATTTTAACTGAAGGTTAATTTTTTACGAAACACTTCCACAACATATACGTGAAGAATTCCCATCATTTTACAACTTCTTTAGATGTAATGGAGAAAACTCCAAACGTAAAATACAGTACAATTCTCCCATTTCAAACCTTCCCTTTCTTACATTAAAAAAAAATTACTGACCCTACTAGATCAGGTCAAATCAGGTTCTAACTAAGAAGAGCATTTATTAATTACAAATTCTATGTTCCCTAATTTAGGGATATACTGTATCGCTCCAAACATACTTCCCTGCAAAAATTAGCCATTTCTTAATTCTAAAATAATGCTAAATGAATTTTGATTAGAACTTATAGTTCCCGAGAAGCTCAATTTTCTGTATACCAAGATAAGCAATTACAGTATATTTTTGGAGGTTCTTAAATTATGCAGGAGTTTGGGCTTCCGTATTGTGCCAATTATTAAACATTTTCCATAGCCCCTGCACACATGATCAAGGCAAAAATTCGTTATAATGAGATCATTCAGGGAAATTAGGTCGTTATGACGTAATTTTCGTAACATTGACACTACACAGCAACTGCTGGGACCAAGGAAAAAAAATCGCAATACCGATATTCGTTGTAAAGGAATTTACCGTGTTTAATCGTTACAGTACTCTGATGACATCTTAAATCGGTACAGTCCTACTAAGACATTACGTGTTGAACGATCAAAGATGAGTCACCTGTAGCCGGAAAAGCGAGTTTCCTGATCCTCAGTGATGGATTTCCATTGGAATTTCATCTTGTAGTAATAATCTAGTTGGCGTTTCTCGGCGGCCTTCGCTTGCACCATCGTCGCATTCCAGTCAATCACGTTAAGGAGGTATTTCCACACGTCTTTCCGGATCGACGGCTCAATTCCGCCGCGGAAAACACGCGCCTTGACGAGATCCGGCTCAATCACTCTGCCATCTACGTCCATCATTTCGCTTTCCCATTCTCTGCGAGACAAAGGCTCGCCTCGGGAAACCGACGGCAACGGAGGCATCGACACATTGTACGTTTCGATCACCTCGAATCCTACAGTTATTCACAGATAGAAAGGACGTCAAAAAATCAGGATGCAGTAAGGGACAGTACCGGGCGATTCAAGACCTAACTAGTCACAGAAAACCGCTAAAATTTAGCGCTATTGTAAATATTCAATCTTGGAACTGGTTTCGATTTCAAAGGACGGTTTCGATCATAAGTAGCATCAGCAAGACAATGATTATTTTCTAAAACTATTTCTGCCTTTAAACCCCCTTATTATATCATTGGTAAATAAATGAAATAGGACTTTCCCACGGGAGACCACAAGAATATCTTTTCCCAAGCGCCACTTGCTGTTGGGCTAATGTCACATTATTCGACGAGTTCTTTTGTAATCCCATAAAAAGTCCTTTGAATGAAATTCCATAATCGGGCGTTCACTGATCACTGCTCCAGACATTGCCTCATTTTTCCCGTCAATTGGCGCGTGAATTACCTTACATAAAAATGCGACGCGAAATTTAGGTTAGGTTTTTGAAACTCGCCAATTTTAAAACGAAAAAACATAAAATGCAGCTGTTTAAAAATTTGTGGAATCGGACGTAAGTTCAAGATGAATGCCCGAATTGCCGATGCATATATAGTACTGTATTGCCTATTACAACCATACCAAACTCCTTTCCGATATAAAACTCGCAAAACATGGAATAAAAAACCGACATCCTCAAGTGAACATCTCGCACTACATACCGTGTTCGGTGAGGGAAGAAACGCCGGAAGTTTTAGAGCAGGAAACATCTTCGGCTGAATGCGAGGGAGAAATCGTTTGCTGAAGCAGGTAGTCAAACTCCGACGGTGGTCTTTCTTCCATGTCATCCATTCCTTGAAGGTTGTCTGAAATTTAGCCGCGATTTCATCCCAGCGGAAATAATTTCCCATTCGTGGGATCAATTACTTAAATTACTTCTTGCATTATTTCATTCAACCATCCGAATCAATACTCTCCAAAATCCACAAAATTCTCTGATGCTCATAAAAAATAACATAGAACTACACTCACTCCAGGCGTTGTAAACCTTGGAAAATGCGTACATCGCTGCAGTTTTAGGGTCATTCTTGATCTCGTTCGCACTATGGATCAGTCCACGGATTAACGCAGGTCCTGAACCTCGCATATCCGACAATCCGTCAAAAATATCCATCGGGGCGAAGGACTGGCTCAACGCGTCTTCTCGCACGTCTTTCACCAAAAACAAATTCTTATCTCGTTTGGATCTGGAATCAAGAAATGCAAGAAAAGAGGAGGTTACATTCAACAGCTCTCGTCAATCGCCTTTTCCAGATGTCACAAAGAGATAAAATGTAACTTGCGTTTCTTCGTCAAGCAACATGAAATACTTCAACACATTCATCTTTGAAAGCTAAAGGTCAAGTGAACGAAAAATTTCGCAATTAATCTATAAATATTAAATGTTTCTTTCAAAGAGTGCGGTGAGTCCCTCAAACATTGGCGACATACATTTCGAAAAGCATATAAAATATGAGCTTCTTAAAAATATCATATAAAGGAAATTGTGAAGTTTGACGGAACGACGAAAATTACACGCATGGAATTTCGCAACTCACTGTTTAATTTTCAGGTACTTGGTTAAAGCACGAACGAAGTTGTCCATCGCATCGCCTTGGAACATGAGTGCACACGAAGTAGATCCATCTCGCATCACAAGGACTATAGAATTATCATCATCTCCGGTTCTATAGCTGCTCAGTTCTGACAACTCGTACCTGAACGGTCTCATAAATGATTTCTCCTCGCTCACTGGCAAATCTACAGAACCTGAGATTAAAAATAAATAAATAAATTAACCGTCGAACTTCAATGGACCAGTAAACAAATTCAAGTCAGGGAAACTAGCATTTTTGTCAGGGAAAAGACAGAAGAATTTCATGAAATTATAATAGGCGATATTCTGGGCCTTAAATTGCTTCTCAACTGAGTTGAAAGGATCATGAGCATGGAGGGCAGGGTTAATTAGTCTTTCATTCACTTTCAAAACAGATCAAGTTAAATTGTTATTGTTTTTCTCTTTCATGCGTCAATAAAATAATATTCAAGAGGGCTGGAGAAAATTCGAGTCACGGAGGTTTGCGGGTGAAAGCCTTCGAGTCGGGAGGGTTTTCATTGCTTTGTTTTCAAGATAATTCAGACAGGGACTTGAAAACATTCGGAATATGGAGGTTGGAATCATCGAGGTTCAACTGTATATAGTTGACTGGATTATCGTAAATAGGTTAGAGATTCGGGCAACAAGCACAAACCGGATTCGTTTCGGTTTTTAAATCCCACTGCTTGACCCTTGACTGAAAACTCAGGTACTTGACGATCACCCGCACCTGCCTCGTTTTTGTCACGTCCATACTCTTCCCAAACAACGAACGCCCCATGTTTCTGTAAAGAACACGAGAAAAAGAGAGAGGATTTTACAATATTTGCCTTCTCCATTTTCAATCACTGATAGCGCTTTATCTTCAGCAACTTTACTTACCCCTTCTTGTACTGAGAGTTGTCCCAGTAAAAGACCACGCTCGTCCCTGTGGCATCGGGAGGTTTGAAGATAAACCGCTGCTTGCGTGTAAACCACCTGTTTCCGGAAATGGGAGTAGAACAGTAACTGATCAATATTCCGAGAAGTCAATAAAGTGGGTCCAGAAATGGCGTCTTTATACCCAGTAATAGAAACTAAAGTAAAATACTTGGACTTCCGATTCCAGGGTTTGATTTTGAAATTCTTTTGTTAAAAATAGGAATGAGGGAAAAAAAACAAAGAAAATTTTGTACCTCGAATTCCAGCGGAACTTATAAGCCTCACATTCATGATTGTTAAATCCAAGAAATTTCAAATAATAAAGCCCACGAATGGGGGAATGAATGACAACGACTGAAGGTAAAATGAAATTTCTGCACAAGAAAACTTGCTTTTTTTTAAATTACTCGTTACTTCACATTTTTGGGGGAAAATGAAAAAAAGTTCTTTACCCTTTCTGCTTTTGGATTTGGCGATGTTGCCATGACGCGCACACTTTTCACCACTGAATGATCACTTCTCTATCTCACCGCGAACAACTGTAAATTCCAAAAAGTTTTCAAACTATATCTGCTAAAAATAAAACAGCGAGGTTTCCATCATTCGGGCAAATTCGCAAGCAATGTACCTTTACATCCCTTGAATAGGTACATTCGTACAGTATCACCAAACATTTTTTAAACCGTTCAAAAGTACAATATTGCAGTACATCCTGATTCGACAACAAAAATGTCAGACCTATTAATTCGTTCGAAGTTAGCGAACACTAACAGCCATTTACACTACGTCTCATAAGAAAATACAGCATCAAGGGTTACGAAACCTGACCCAAAACCTAATAAAAACATAATTTCTTCGAATTTTAATTCTCAGGAAAAAAGAGAACTACTCTGAAGCATCGTTGATTTTTTTCCGATTACAACGACGATAAAATCTTACACGTTCCGTCCGAGTTGCAAATCTGATTTCCTAGCCGAGCTCAACGTATACCGCCCAAAAAAAGAAAGTTACCGCGAGCGAGAGACATTTAAAAATCCCAAGATCACATACACTCAAAAACTTCACAGATGATGACAACAACGAAATGACAAACATATTTTCATTGCGGAAAAGAATGCGCTCGTTGAAAACGGATCATTTTCGTCTTTTCAAATCTTATGCTCACAGTCTCGATCTCGATCGCCATTGCACGCAAGCTGGTCTCAGAAAAAAAAACACAAAAGAGAGAAAGATATCAATCGTCAACTGTCACGTTCCGGAACAAGTAGGACATGGATTCACCGTTGTGGATGCGACGGATGGATTCCGCCACGAGCATGGAAATATCCACTGTCTTGATCTTGTGGCAGTGCATCTTCTGGATCTCGTGCGGCACTGTGTTCGTCACCACCACCTGAGCGTGAATCACACAAACAAACGTTTCTTTTCATGACTCATCATATCGAGTTTCAAACAGAGACTTTACTCGCTCTCGAATTATTCATTCGATTTTTAAATTACAGCGCTGATGGGGCTGACGCGTCGGACGGAACCCGATTCACAATAAAAATTAAATAGCAATTTTAAATCGGGATCAATTAATACTAGGGGACCCCAACACATGGACAACTCGACCCATACCGACACCGAAAACTTGAAAAAAAAGTGCCCCGACATCCTAACACTTATCCAAAATTCTTTGAATTTTTTAGTATCTCCAAAACAAATCGAGCTGCAGTATTCATATTCAGAAAATTCCAAAATATTTTTATCATCAAATTATTTTAATTTATAAATCATAATCAAAACCGGCTAATTCTGTTCTTTTCATTAAAGATTTTTCCCATATTGTGTGCAAGGTAAAGCAAGACTTGTTTTTCTTTTTCGTTTAATCCTACAAACCTCATAATTTAAGAATGATCAGCTTTTTTTAATTTTCAGTGAATCTTTGAATCACAGCCTAGGAGTGGTTATGTTCTCGCCAAAATTTTAGTTTCGATGGAACTTTTACATCCAGCAGAACTAATACAATAACAAACAAGATCCAAACACTTCTGACTGGTAGATGATGTTACTTCGGGGAAACCTTCATTACAAAGAACTTGCACTTTTTGGATTGTCTGGTAGCGTTTGTAAAGCAGGAAAATCCTTGAAACATTAATCCGACAGGTAATCCTTACTTTTGCCTATCCATGGAGTGCAATCTGAACTCTTGCCCTCAATATACAGTATTTCATCCAGTACACTTATCTGTTGTACACAATCGATGGATAATTCTTTTTTGACAGAGAAGCACAAAATAGGCCTGCTTTTGAAAAGATATTAGAATGCAAGGAAATGATTTTCACTTCTTCTCCACAGCAATAGCTTAATTCGATTAGGAATAGATAATTCGAGACAGATAATTTAAGATCTGCCAAAGTTCCAAGACTCAGTGCTTCTCTTATGCTGAACCTGCCTTTCTACTAAAGTGCTGCTTTGTCTTGGAAAATGAAATGAAGAAAGTACATGTGGGAGAAATACTTCCTTCCAAATCAACTCATCATTCATACCCGTTTGTTACTTTAAAAAGAATAATTCTTTTAAACATACTGTTCATTAATTTTGAAAGAAAGACATAAATTCTGAAAGGAGCTAAATAATTCATGCTGTGCATTTTCTTGAACACTGAATTTGTATCAAGAAACTTAGGCTTTTTCATGAATTTAGAATTCAGCAGTATTTTTATATTTTTCAATTCCTCTGCCAATTATCAAGTGTTTTCCATGGTCTATGCCCAGAATCAGAGCAACATATTGTCATAAGGAGATTTTTTGTAATTGAGTTTTACAGCATTACCATACTTACGCAAGCACTACAGGTCCCTGAGCAACACCAGGGTTTTCCACATGGAAATTTTGATAAAATTGCATCCCGAAAATGAAAAACACCAAGATTTGAATTTTGATATCAACTGGAACTGAATTCAACTAATTTAATTGTTATCATTATAAATGTTGCCATTGGTCCAAAATCAGAATCAAGCATGATGCACATTTACATGTCAAAAACTTGAAAAAAGTATGTACTCTCCATGACGTGACCCTCTTTTTTCTCTCTCGAATTTTAGGAAAAAGGTAAGCATAGAACTCAAGTAAATACTGTATAGCATTAACCTTTTAATCTAAATCTAAGCAGATTCAATTCAAGATGTGATCTCACGCTACTAGCTGATAAAAACAAAAAAAAAATCAAAAGCTCAACTTCCCCTGCATTTCAAGTTCAAAAATAAAATAGATTTGAAGAAAAAACTCACCTCGTCAATGGGAGAATTTTCCAGCAAAATCGGGGCATCCTGCGCCAGAATCCCGTGTGTGGCCATCACGTAAATCTTATACGCCCCACGCTCTTTCAAAATCTCAGCCGCCGCGATGAAAGATTGCACGTCGTCCACGACTTCGTCCACCATGATCGCAATCCTCCCACCAACGTCACCAACCACATTCATCGGTGGCTTCTCCTTGGCCAGTGTCGGCGGCATCCCAACGTGCATGTCCATCGTCCGAGACTTGGGCACCACAGGTGGCGAGTTGCGACCGTCCACGTAGTCGACAGCCGTTTCCGCATCGGGCTTCTGTTCACCGTGTATCACTGCGATGCCAAGTCGCAGTCGTTCAGCATACGATGTTGCTCGCGTAGCTCCAGAAGGATTCCTAGCCACGATCACTGCGTTTCTGTAGTCCGGTATGGAGGTTTGAATGTATTCAAGCAGAAAGGATGACGCGCGCAAATTATCCACAGGACAATCGAAGAATCCCTGCAAAAAAAGGAACAATATGAAAATATTAATAACCATGAACCTACGCCAAAAAATTAATAAGAAGTGGAATACTTCCCAGATTTTGACATTAAAAAAGGAAACGCTTCACGATTCGCTCCCACAATCAAATGCTTAAAATTTCGTTAAAAGGTTTACGGAATTTAGGATTCCTTCAAAATCATCTTACTAAGCCTCAGCATGAATAACTAAACTGAAGAAAATAATCCAAATAAAATATGATTTCCAACGCAAAAAAGTTAACGCGAAATTCAGCGCAGGGCAGTGCTTTGTTTTTGTCAAAATTGAAGTTATAGCCATTCGATAGGAAATTCGCCAATCAAGATTGCAGTGTAAAACGCCCCCGTATAATGCAGGTGTTCGTATTCTTTCAGAATTACGTCTCTAATTAACACAAGCTCGCTGAATTTCGATGGTTAATTTCAAATCACTCATATCATAGTCAAGTATTCTAATGGAAGTCATGACACTTACTTGAAGTTCCTTTTGAGGCAAATCCATGGTGATCACATGCGTCAAGCCAGCCTTGCACATAAGTTTAGCAACCAGTTTTGCGACAATGCATCCACGCTTCCGCATCTTGCTTTGCTTACAATAGGGCAAATAAGGAATCACTCCAACGACTGACGTTGCGCAGGAAGTTTTGCATGCATACGCCATTATTAGCAGCTCCATAATCAGGTTGTTCACATCTCTGCAAAAAACAAAAGTTTAATTCCATCTGTCTGCTTACAAGGAAGTAATGTACCGCGAGTCTCACTTATTCCCAGACTGAAGAATAAAGACGTCGCGTCCACGGACAGAATCAGTTATTTCAACCACAGTTTCGCGATTTGTTTTGTGGTAGACGGCTGCAGACCCAAGTTTTACACCAAGACGGCTGAGGATTAAAAAAATTAACAACGCTGATCACGGAAAACACTAATTAAGGATGAATCAAACTAACTGTGCGACAAGGGACGAAAGCTCTGGATTTGAATTTCCTGCCAGGAGCATAATCTCTCCCTTTGCTTTGATGGTATGCATCCTTGGCCGAGTACCAGAAATCAAGGGTTTGTTTCTGGGAGCAAAATATTTTGCGGACAATGATGCTTCACCTCGATTAGCTTCCCTAGCCAGACTGACACTTTACTCAATCTAAAAACAAGATGGAGAAAAATTGAAAATTGGAAAGGTTTCAAAGCACAAAGTGATTCCATTTTGAAATAAGTCATAACTCGGCAATGTGATCGTAAAAATTCTTTTTGGGTCACCGATACCCACCATTCATTCATAATCCATCATACACATTCTAAACTTGCAGCTGCAAACGACGAGTGCACAAATTCATTTCACAGCCCCAGTCACACTGAAGAGATAAGTTAGTCAAGCTCCCACTGAAGCATGTTAAATAGAATTCTTTGAAAAATGAAATCAAGTACGCATGAGCGCACGCAATAGATGAACGAGTCTCCCGAAAGCCTTAATTGGAATGTTTTAACCGAACATAGCCCCACAATTCGAACATCTGCGCTGTCTCAAAGCAAGACAGCAGAGAATTCCGAGAGGGAAGAAGACAATTGCACACAAAATTCCGAGTACGGAAAATTCGTCCTCCAACACGCCGATCTGCGAAATAACAAAACACGGAATATGTTAGTACGGCGAAAAACGAGCTATTTTTCACTCGTTCTTACCCGACAGGCTGGACAACCACCGACCAGAATGACTTGAGTTTGAGGCGAGAAGGTGGAGCCGTAACTTGTGTAGCCGCCAGTGTTCAATCCAGATTGACTACTTCCTTGATTTGTTTGGCCGATATTACCTTTAAAAGGCTGGTCATATTGATCACCCTGAACAGCTTCGTCATACGATGGAGGCTTGTCTATCAACACTTCTTGAGCAGGTTCTGACATCGTAGAATGTTTTGTATCTCACAAGCACCTGCGTAATAGTCAACAAATAACACGTTGTGAAAAATCTGTTCTAAATTGGATCTGAAATGACTGCAGCGCACTTTTGCCTCGAAAATAACCATACACATGCACACATTTCCACCGTCAGCCACCCGCCTGGAACACGCGATGACGGGGTCTGATTCAATCAACCCGTCAAATCATAACAGCGCACACAACACAAATTGGCAAAACCTGGAACATACAGAACTGTGCTGTACCACAATACAGTGCAGTACAGTAGAAGCTCGTGGCATATTACGAAAATTCTTGCTTACTACAGTACTTCATACGCAATTGACCATTGTTATTTATATTTATTCAAAGCACATTCTGAGGATTTTGTTGAAGACGTTGCACTTTCGTTCCTACTGATTTTTCATTCGAAATTTTTTGAAACTATAATCTGTATAATCTGTATTTTATAATACAAATAATCACTTTGCGCAGCCTACGTTTCACGAAGAACCACAAAATGCTAAGGTACTTCAATGTGTTCCGCTGTGGTGCAGAAATCTAGTGTGAATTCAGATGTCGTAGTATCTGTTCATGCAATTGTTGGACGGATTATGGAGGAATTCCGTGGAAGTGTTGCAGGCAATTGAACGAAATCGCAAAATTAATAAGTGCACTCTCACAGAAATCTAGTGTGAATTCAGATGTCGTAGTATCTGTTCATGCAATTGTTGGACGGATTATGGAGGAATTCCGTGGAAGTGTTGCAGGCAATTGAACGAAATCGCAAAATTAATAAGTGCACTCTCTCCTGTGCTCCTTTTAGCGTCGGTTTGTAATTATCGGGATTGTCATTTTACAGGTGTTATTTTGAATTAAAAATTTTATCGAGCGTGTAGGGCTGTACCCGTGAGCTCATCTAGAATTCCGTGGCAACATGTTCCTTTCAACGCTGAGTGGGTCTGCTGCTCCAGTATGGTAAGTCTGATGCAGCATGTGTTCTGCGATACATCGGTGTTCCACCAGATGCACTCAATTCCGATTGATCTTTTGGATGAGCCGTAGTAAACAGTAATTGTAATCGTTGTCGTCCGTGTTTCTGAACTTTTACAGGGGCCAGCAAGTGCGTGGAATGGCAACGTTGAAGGATATTTCGATTCGGCTGAAGTCTGTGAAGAATATCCAGAAGATCACACAATCTATGAAAATGGTGTCAGCTGCCAAGTTCGCGCGAGCTGAAAGGGATTTGAAGCAAGTTCGTCCATTCGGAGCTGGTTCAAAGGTCTGTGTTCAGTTTTGTTTTTATTTTTCGTTTCAGGACTATTTTCCCATGTAAACTCCTTGTAATTTCGAGCAGGCCTTCTATGAGAACGTTGCCCCCGAGAAAGACGCCGAACAACCTGCCGAGAAAAGACGCCTCCTCATTGCCATTTCCTCCGACCGAGGACTCTGTGGCGCCATTCACTCTGGTGTTGCTAAGGTGATCAAGGCTGAAATTGCGAAGGACCCTTCAGCCATGGTCGCTTGTGTCGGTGACAAGAGTCGTGGTATTCTAGCACGAGCTATCGGAACAAACGTTCTTTTCGCTTGCAACGAAATTGGTCGACTTCCGCCCACGTTCGGCGATGCCTCTAAAGTTGCGCAAGCAATCCTGGCCGCTGGATACAATTTCACAGAGGGAACCATTTACTACAATTACTTCAGGTATAGGTGTTCTAATTATTTCAGTGTCCCCGAATTTCTAATTTTCGTTCTCCTCGCAGGTCTGTGGTATCTTATCAGATTGCCACCTTGCCGTTGTTCAGCTTGGAGACCATCACGAACTCCGACAAGTATCCCGTTTACGACAGTCTTGATCAGGAAGTCGTGCAGTCCTACCTAGAATATTCCCTTGCATCCCTGCTCTTTTATGCAATGAAGGAAGCTGCGTGCTCTGAGCAGTCCTCACGTATGTCAGCTATGGACAACGCAAGCAAGAATGCCGGTGAGTACACATATCTGCGACATTTTCAGTATCACTGTTAAAAGTAAACATCTCTTTTTTTTTAGGTGAAATGATCGACAAGCTGACGTTGACGTTCAACAGAACTCGACAGGCGGTGATCACCCGGGAACTGATTGAAATCATTTCCGGTGCTGCTGCCTTGTAAAAGGATCCAGAAAGTTACGCGGAAGCTGGCGAAATCCCTGTTGTGCGTGGAAGAGTGTAGAGCGTTGGCAGGAAAAAGAAGGGAATGTTTTCTTTTCGTCGCAGGGAAGTTCTTTATTACCAGTTTTTACTGGTTGTGTTAAAGCCGACACTTTTCTGGGAGAGTCTTTTTTCCGGATCCTCTAGGCTTCTCGTTCGTCGAATTCTGTTCTTTTTATCGAGTGGATTCGTCCAATGCAGAGCTTTTAGTTTCTGGAAGTGCAATTTAATCTCTCGTATTTGTTCGTTCGATTTGTTCTCAAGGTGTGAGAAAATAAAAGTGCAGTAGACAAATTGCGTCGCCCTGTTATTCTATCTTCTGTGAAACATTTTTTTGCTTGATTTTCTGGGTTGTGTTTTTTGTGTGTTATTTTTGGTAATTTCTGCGTGTGGTGTGCGGTGCTAGGTGTAAAGATTTGTGTCGAGTGTTGCCATGGAGTAGCAGTTCGGCCGAGTAAGGATTGAAATGAGTTCGGATGGGAAACCACCATCTGTTGGTGAAATCAAGGTGAAGAGCGCTATTCCAAAAAATCGGCAAGAGAAACTAAAATGGAATGGTTGGGGATACAAGAGCACCGCGTTCGACATCAGCGACGACTTGCAAAGCGCGCATTTTGTTGGCGAAGGGTAAAGCAATTTTTTTTTCCATTTCGAAGTGTCTATTCACGCATTGACAACTGTAGGTATCCAATGCACGGGGAAAGCCTGCCGCAGTTCTTACCGTTTGCAGAAAAGAATCTTGGCCTTCGAAGACCCGGGGAAATTGTTAAACCAAGACCCTCCTTCAGCGACTCCGAATTGCCCCAGACTAGGGCAACCAAAGGCTAGTTGTGTTGTGTGCAAAATTCGTTGAAACTGCTTGGCCAACGTTTGTTTTTGCGATTCATTTGATGTTTTTCAGAAATAATGGAAAGCTTGGAAGGCTTTGGAATATCATATTCGGTGCGGGGAGAAGATCGATTATTCCGTGCCCACGGCCACACCTTGAGAGAAATTTATGCACTGAGGCACGGATCTTTCAGACGCATTCCTGATGTCGTAATTTGGCCAGGTATGTGAAAGATTTTGATTTTTGCGCTTGAGCGGCAGACGTTTCACTAAAAAATATGCGGGTTCTAAGGTTCGCATGATGTACATTGAAACGACGTATGATTGAACAATATGAGCATTGTTCAGGAAAAAATTGTTAGGCACAAGATACAAATTCAGCCCTGTTCGACGTAATTTTTAGAATTTTTTTTTCCGGAAAATTCTCGCTTGCAGCATTCTGCTCTAAAAGTGAGGCGCCCACGACGTAGGTATTTTGGTGTTTCCCAGCTTCACCGTTAGAATTCTTGCAATTGAAATGGCATTCATTCCCAGGGTTGCCGCCAATAATTGATTATTAATTCCGCAATTTTCGTCAACAGCCGCCACCTGGGATGAGAATGTGGCGGCTGAAAATGGAAATGGCGGAATTACTGTGGAATACCTGGAGGCAATCCTTGGAATCAATGCCAGGACAATTTCAAGAATTCTGAAGGAAAAGCTTGGCTGCATGAAAAAATCTGTGAGATGGCGCCTCAACTTTTCCATGATGAACAGAAAGCTTGCTAGGGTGACTTCTGCAACATAAAATGAAATAAAAAAATGTATATATCCGCACACGGGCTGAATTTTTTCTAGTACAAAAGAATGTGATTTTGAACAGTAATTGTTTTTTGTTCAATCATTCGCCAAAACAATGTTTGAAGAAAATTTGTTGAACCCCTGTGAATCGAACTATGTGTTGGTATCACGTAGTATGAGGTATTTCTCAAAAAACTCTGCTTTGACTTCACCAAAAACGAGAATTAAAAAGTGCGTCCTTTTTTGAAGTTTTGATTAAAGCTCATTTTTTGATGCGTGGCAGAAAAAAATATTTTCACCTTCTAGAATGTCATGACCACGTGGTGAAGTTGGTGAAACTGGCGAACGAGTTGAACTTCGTCATCATACCATTTGGTGGAGGCACCAGCGTGACGTTGGCGGTGGAGTGTCCCGAAAACGAAGAAAGGCCGATCGCGTCTTTAGACACTTCACAAATGAATAAAATCCTTTGGATCGATCGGGAAAATTTAGTTGCTCGATTCGAAAGCGGGATTGTAGGACAAGACTTGGAACGGGAAATGAAGGTCCGTGGGTTCACTGTTGGACACGAGCCGGATTCCTTAGAATTTTCTAGGTTAGGGAATACGTTTTTCTGGAATCTTGAGCAATGGAAAAAATGAAGCTTCTCTTGATTGGGATTCAGTTTAGGTGGTTGGGTAGCAACAAGAGCATCGGGAATGAAGAAAAGCGTGTACGGTAATATTGAAGATTTGATAGTGCACTTCACTGCAGTCACGTCTCGTGGAGTGATTTCCAAGTCATGTTCTGTTCCTCGTCTCTCATCAGGACCTGATTTGCACCAATTCTTTCTCGGTTCAGAAGGTGAGTGCATTACTGTTTCAAGAATTTCACTATTTTCGGTTTAAACTTTTTTTTTCTTTCTATTTAAAGGAACGCTTGGAGTGATAACTGAAGTAACTCTGAGAATCCGGCCGTTGCCTGTCGTCAAAAAATTCGGATCCCTCGCCTTCCCGACTATGGAGGCAGGGATTCAGTGTCTGCGAGAAATAGCTGGAAAGGTTACGTTATTTTATGATTTTTGTTGCAAAATTGGGGCGTAAAGAATGATGTAATTGATTTCAAAAATCATGTACAGGATTTGAATCAAGGTTGAATGTACAAATTTTAGAACTCTTCGTTCTTTCGTTTTTGTGCAGAGAATATTTCCGGCTTCTATTCGTCTCATGGACAATCATCAGTTCACGTTCGGTGAGTGATTGTTGTCTTAATAAAGCAGTATTTCAATTTTATTTTCTCATTCTATGTATACTGGAAGCTCAAGCTATCAAACCGACGCAAGGAAAATTTAAAGCTATGATGGAGTCGTTGAAAAAGCTGTACCTGACTTATTATCAAAAATTTGACGTGAGTCAGATGGCAGTGGCGACTCTATTGTTTGAAGGAGAGTGTGAAGAAACGGTGAAACTTCAAGAAAAGCAGGTTTACGAGATCGCTGCTAAACACGGCGGGCTTCCTGGGGGAGAAGAGAATGGTCAGCGGGGGTATTTACTCACATTCGTGATAGCTTATATTCGAGTAAGTTTGTTATTGGCACTCATGGTATACGGTGTAGTGAATTTGATGCCTTTTTTTTTTTTTTTTCTTTTCAGGATGCCGCGTTTGATATGGGAATTTTGGCGGAGTCTTTCGAGACGTCTGTTCCTTGGGATCGTGTGGCGGTTGTCTACGGGAACGTCTTCAAAAGAATGGAACGAGAATGCTCGAGTGAGCATAATATAATTCTTGTTTTGTGTGACAAAGTTTTTGAATGATTTTCTTTTCAGAGCGCAACGTCAGGAAGCCGTATTTGAGCAGTCGTGTCACCCAGTCGTATGATGCCGGTGCTGCTATGTACTTCTATTTTGGTTTCGAGTATAAAAGTTTAGGTGTGGAGGATCCCGTTGGGCTCTACGAGGAAATTGAGGTAATCGAATTTCCAAAGAATTTTTTGAATTAGTCCTGAACATATTTTGTGAATTACAGGCTTTCTTTTGTTTCGATTCTTTTTCCCACGACCCTGAAATTATTTCTTTGTCGCCTGATTCTTTGAGGATAACGTTGGATATGGATACATGTGGTTATTTGGTCAGGTGATTTGCATAGATCAAGATTTTTTCTATACTGGTGATTCAGGCGACATATGTTATTTAGTCCGAGAAACAAGATATGTTGGAAGGGGAAAAAACCTTGTTAAATTTAACTTCCCTGGTTCTTTTTTCCCCCCAAGAAGTACGAAGGGAATTTTGGGTAGTGAATTATAATTTTCAGTCATTTTAATTCGTACAATTGAGTATTTTTTCGGGTGTAAAATATTCTGATTTTGTAGTGTCTGTAAGTTGTTGAATGTATCCCAATCGTATTTTTTCTAGCATGAATTACGGGATGAAGTGATGCGCTGCGGTGGGAGTATTTCGCATCACCACGGAGTCGGGAAACTGAGAAAACAGTTTCTTGAGAGAAGCATTTCAAAGCCCGGAGTTGCTTTGCTGCAATCTGTCAAACGTGCATTGGATCCGAAAAACATCTTCGCAGCGGGAAATTTAGTTGATGTGGAGCCGGATTTGACGGCCAAATTATGAGTACCTACCGTGCATTCCGCCGGCGGTTTTTGTGGACTATTTCCGGCATTCTCCGTATCATTTAGGTCAGAGGTTGGAAACTTGGAAGAGTTTCTTTTCAATTCAGCATCTAGAGAAAGTTCATTAATCCCATTTCAGTGTTTCGAAATTTCATCAATTTGTGCTATTGAGACGACGTGAAGGTTGTGGGTACAGTTCCCGAAAGCGTTTCTTTGCCATTTGGAAAGCCCATGTTTTGTCAAATTCTTGGGGAACTAGTTGTTGACGTTCAGGATTGCGGGTGAACTTCAGACGTTTATATATGACGCTAAGAATTGATACAAACGGTGTTGAGGAGGCGCTTTAGTCATGTTCAAGCATTCCTCTGATTTGGTTTTTTTGTTGGGACGTATTTTATTCACGTTTTAAGCTTTTTGATTCGTATTTCGTTGTGGATCGGAATTAATGCAGGTACTTGGGAAAACCAAACTTCGCTATTCCTCATTACGAAAGGACTGACTACTTTTGTTTCACAGTGATTCAAGAGTTTTATTCAGAGACGAAGTGCAGAAAGCAATTTAGTGACCGAGACCGAAGCCAAGGACGAGGTCGACCAAGATGGAGATGATCTCTGGTGGCAAGAACTCAGCAATGGTGACGACGGCCTCCAGACCTTCAAAAATAAAAGAGTTCGAATTGAGAAGAATAGCGTCGATTTCCCGTTTTCTGTTTTTTATATTTTTTATCTTAATTCTTCAACCTCCGTCGTGATTGAGTCTTTTAATTTTCCTGCCTTTAGATAGGTGTTGCTTCATTACACATTTTGTTATGCATTAGCCTTGATAATCCGCTCTAGCCAATTTTACTAGAATTATAGATTTGTGTTGTTTTCCCGTTGTTTTTGTGTCTCAAAATCAAGAGCAATTTTCTCAGAGTCAATGAAATCTTTTGATTCGACTCATGCGTCAGTTACCAACTCATTTTTATAGTTCGAAGCAGGCTTTCTAGCTCTTGTATTGGAAATGTCTGGAAGAGTTCTATTTTCGTTTCAAATATTTTTGACTGTAATCATTACCAAATTTACTCAAGTACTACGCACCCTCAAGTATAAAACGTGAATCAGGAATTTTCAGTAAAACATTATGATAGCATTGTAATTATAATTAATACACACCGCATTTTTTTAGTGCCTCTGTAAAACAGCAATATTTTCAAAATAAGAACACCCACATTTGAATGTAGACGTGGATTTCATCTGAATTCAACTAATTTTCTTTTACTTCCATCAGCACAAGTTTTTCTTTTGAACTTCAGGTCAATATTTCTCATTAGAATCAAGTACAGTACTGTATAATGCATACCTAAACTTGTAAAATCTTATACCTACCTATGAAGCGCACCCCTCTTTTTCGTCTTGAATTTGAAAAAAAGTGTGTGTGGTATCCTCAGGTAAATATGGTAATCAAATTTCTTAAATGATCGTGGATCGATTCAATTTTTGTCAAGGTTGACGAGTCAAGCGACACGTGTCTGACACTTAAAGAACAGCGAGATCGGTCCTTTAAATCGCACGAGTGGCCCTGCAGCCATTTGCTCACCGAATTCGATGAGCTGGTCAATGGCCCATTGGATGATGTCCTGGCGAATGGCGTTCTTGGCGGGGGCGACGAAACCACCGGAAACGACGAGGTCCCACAGGATGTCGATGAGGGCAGCGGGGATGCCGAGGTCAGCGGCAACCTGGATCAAGAGGTCGTGCACTTCAGCGCCTGCGGGATGCATATTGGAGAGGGGAGAGAAGAAGAAAAGGAAAGGAAAAGTCTTGTCAAAATGATATGTTGGGGTTTTTCGTAACGATGAGAATGCTCATTTCAGCTGGAAAGCAGTCCGTTGGCAGTACGCCAACTTTCTGACCTTTAACCCGTATATATATATATATCCGGATGTCGGCTATTCATGGCGCATGATATGTTCTGGCCGTGTGAAACTCCGTTCTTTATAATGGTGTGATGGATTGGAAAACCGTTGTTGAATAGTACAGAACTAGTGTTACGTTCATCCTGATGATTGATTTTTATGGCAGAATCACTCTTCCGATTTTTCACGCTGGAATTACTACATTCTGAATTACAAGAGCAACACACAAAGAAAATCGAATTGGGCAAAGAAGCATTTCTGTTGAGGGGAACGAAAGAAAAATTGCCAGAAAGTGTGATTGATGATATTTTGGCCCTTCAACTGTTTTTTAGATGCCTTGACCTGATGCTGAACTTGTAGGCAAGGTTTCATTTGCCCAATTAGTCCAACTTTCTTCCAGAACACATCGTTACTTTATTTTTATTGCTCTTCTCTTCGCGGTGCCAATAAAAAATAAACAAAAGGCATCCACAAAATTCGAGTTGTGGAGGATTGAAGGAGGAAAGTCTTCGAATTACATTATGCTGGAGGTTTTTCAATCAATCATTCATGAGGGAATTCAGACAGAAACTTGGAAAAAATATTAATAAAGGGAGGTTTAAGTGTATATTCGGTTAGTGTTGGGTCAAAAAAATTTTTTTTCAAGCATCATTGTGAAGACCCATTTTTTGGGAAAAGTATTTGTCTCGTATTATTATTCCTGAGGTGTGGTACTTTCATGAGCGAAAATATTAGTTGAAATAGTATTCGGTGACAGGAAGTCGTGAAAAATGTTATTGATTCATATTGTGTGAGCGGTTTCGGAACGTACCGAACATTTGGATGAGGACGTCGATGAGGGCCAGGAGCCACTCAGTGATGTCTTGCTGCGAATAGTAAGATGAGAGAGCGAAATCTTGAGTAACTGAGGTCAAATGAAATATGAAATTTTAGTTGCTTACACGAACGGCATGAGCCTTTCCAGGGAAAAGACCCGACTCAAAGAGAGCCTGAAGAATGGACAAGATGGGTTCTGGGATCAAATCCACGAGTTGTGCGAAAGCTGCCGAGCCCAAGTCGGTGATGATTTGGATGGCGGCCAGCAGGTCGGAAAT